ATATATAATAATCGGACCTTCATAGAATTTCGTATAACAGTTATTTTGTATGCTCTTGTTGTTTCAGACCCTACCGTGACTGTGCCTATAACTTGGGCAAAGGGAGCATTTGGACTTCCAAAGACCAATACCGGATGTCCACAGACACCCGGCTTTACGTTCCATTCCGGTTGGCGGTATCACGACTCAGAGGATGATGACAATGGCAACCGTTGGTCATCTCCAAACCACTTTGTCAGTGGCTCATTAGGAGGTAATATGTATCAGCATTTTTGTATGAAGACCCAGGACACGGTTACTAGGTATGATGTCGATTGGCCTAAAGGGCAGTACTGTGTGTTTCATCCGTCCAGCGGCTACTGTCCAACAGGTATGTATGCTACAATTCATAATATATATCAGTGTAATTAGTACAGGGCCCGTGAAATTAACGGACTAATTAGAAGAGAGGACTTGTCGGGGATAATAATAATGATTATGGTATTTATAATTCTAACATTTATGTTTAAAAAAAATTAAATCCATTACTCATTACGGCCTTGCCAGTTTTATCTTAAATTTGTTCTTTTTTAATTATCTGCTTTGTTGATTTTGATGTTTCTATGTATGATTTATGCTTTTACTTTATTTCCGATGTCTGCTTTTGCATCTTATCTTTTTTTAACTACTTTTAAAATTGTATTGTGCTTAATTGATTTAATGTAAAAGATTATCACAATTCAGTTTTTCTGTGAAGATGATTTTATTAATATATATACCATTATGATTGAATGAATGCATATCAGCACATGCTTCGTTAGCACACACTTTCAAAATGTTTTGGGGTAACCCATCTGACCCTGAGAAGATTTAAGGATTGAGATTTAAGTATTGATATTGGTGATCATTTTGTTAGAGCCTATAGTACTTAACTGGCCATAATTATAATATATAACATTACGAATTTCCACTATTATCATGATTTATCACAAACTGTTAAATCGACGTTACTATATTATTAATGTAGGAATGGCAGAAGGATCTATTTACTGGGATGATGAAGATGACGACAACAAAAATAGCTATTCAGGATCGTTACCACGTGGTAGCTACGGTGGAAATACTAAGATATATTACTGTTGTAAAATTGACGGGTTCGCAGAAAACAGCATCTTTCTTCCTACTGATTCTCCGTTCTATCTCTTCCCGTATACAAATGTCTGTCAGGCGGTTGAAGGAATGAACGCGAATATGGAGTACTTCAGATGGGACAACGAAGACGACGACAACAAAGATTATGACAGTGGTTGGCACCCTTACAAGAACAGTGGCAGTGATCATAATATATATTATTGCTACTACACACCTAAATAAACAACACACGCCCTCGTTTAGCATACAGTAAGTATGGAAAGATTAATGGTGTAAACTGGTAAATTTATAAGCTTATATTAGGCTTGTATTTGATTTATCTTGGACAGAAAATGTAATTTTACGTAAAACGAAAATAAAATCGCCAATAGTCTTATTTGGGAAGAGCATTCATTCATAGTTTTTCATTTAAAGTCAGGCTCCGGAGGGGAAAAAAGTTTGATATGTTGTAGAACTGATTTTGAGATACAGATTTTTTAATATTTAAAAACTGGGGGAAAGGGGCGTAACTGCTCATTTTTACACCTTATTCCCCCAGTTTTTAAATATTAAAAAATCTGTATCTTATTATTCATCGTTCCCCAGTTTTTCGTCAAACAACTTTTTTCTGTCTTAGAAAAATCAGTTCTACAACATATCAAACATTTTTTCCTCCGGAGCCTGACTTTAACGCGGTTACAATTTTCAAATTACAATATAAGTTTATTTCAGTATTTCAATTTTCAATTTAATTTAAATATTTTTAAAAAAGGGTGAAAAACACGATACTGCAATAACTAATCATGTTGAGTTTTTAAATGGCATCACGAAATTCTGAACGACATTAAGATGACCAAGTTCATTTAAATCGCATATTGCTATTAGCATAACTATCGCAACGCAGGTAACATTATAGATATATACAATGTTTGGGATGAGAAAAGCAGTTGCAGAGCATAACTGCATTGGAAGACAACCTCATAAATGAACAGTTTACGAGGACAAGATATTAGCCACAATATAAATTTTGATGGTTAAATTGAATTCAACAATTATTTTAATGTTGTCGATGGGAAGGGACGAAAGGGGTCCAGAGGAGAAGACTGGAAGACTTTGATGGCGAGTTAGATGGCCGAACGGTTAGGGCAAGGGTGTCGCAACCTACAGTCATAATATCGGTGCTAGTTCGAGCGGCACGCTTGGCTATTGTTCTGGTGGTGTTTTTAAATATTAAAAAATCTGTATCTGATTATTCACCGTTCCACAGTTTTTCGTCAAACAACTTTTTTCTGTCTTAGAAAAATCAGTTCTACAACGTATCAAACATTTTTTTCCTCCGGAGCCTGACTTTAACGCGGTTACAATTTTCAAATTACAATATAAGTTTATTTCAGTATTTCAATTTTCAATTTAATTTACATATTTTAAAAAAAGGGTGAAAAACACGATACTGCAATAACTCATGTTGAGTTTTTAAATGACATCACGAAATTCTGAAAGACATTAAGATGACCAAATTCATTTAAATCGCATATTGCTATTAGCATAACTATCGCAACGCAGGTAACATTATAGATATATACAATGTTTGGGATGAGAAAAGCAGTTGCAGAGCATAACTGCATTGGAAGACAACCTCATAAATGAACAGTTTACGAGGACAAGAGATTAGCCACAATATAAATTTTGATGGTTAAATTGAATTCAACAATTATTTTAATGTTGTCGATGGGAAGGGACGAAAGGGGTCCAGAGGAGAAGACTGGAAGACTTTGATGGCGAGTTAGATGGCCGAACGGTTAGGGCAAGGGTGTCGCAACCTACAGTCACAATATCGGTGCTAGTTCGAGCGGCACGCTTGGCTATTGTTCTGGTGGTGGAACAAGTCTTCTCGGACAAGGACTATAAACCATAGGCTCACTGTACAAAACTTGGCTCGTGTGCATTCAAAAGAACACAATACTGTATATCTTTCGTGACGAGTAGGAGGTTACCCCGGTGTACTGGTCCATACAGTCCCTGCTGTGAACAGACGAAGAGTAGCTGGTACCGGTTTACCGGGTAGCTCAGACATGATGAGACCGTTAGGGGAGAAGCAAGTTACTTGTACGAGTTAGCCTGAGTCCCACACATCGAGCGCTTGAGACTTATGTATAAGCGCTATATAAATAGAACTACATTACATTACATTGAAAATTTAGATGTTTGAATACATAATCAATTTTACAGAAATGTAAAAATTAGATTTTCTCCTCTACCAATTGTTTAGCTCCGAAGAAACCATTCATACAAAAATAGCAGAAAAATGAAGTTGGACATCGTTCACAGTTTGCTCTTCTTTGTCAATTATGTAACCACTTCATCCAATCAAGTAACAAATTTTCATACATGGCTCCGACTCTACATGAGTCGTTATTGATTTTAAGATCGTGGCGATGTTTGCTTTCTATTGTCGTGCAAATTAAAAATAAAATACTCAAAGCATTGACTAGCCCTGCGTAAATTTAATTTATTCGCATCTTATACAAGAAATACACTGTGAAAAGCATTAGAGCTTTCAATTTAAATTAGTGGGGCTCCTTACACCCATGATACTTCGAATTGGGGTAGAAGCATAAAACTTGGTATGTCAACTCACATCGGAGATATTTGAAAATTTGAGGACATTTCCAAAAATTTGACATTTGACCTCAGAAAAAGCCGATTCCTCTTGACTCTTAAAATATACGTCCTAGAAACATGAAAATACTATTCAAGTTTAATAGTAACATGTACCTAAAACTCAAACTAAACTAATGTTTCAACTTATTTAAACATTTCGTGAGTCCACCTGTAGTCCACCTGCTAGTATGGTGACATCGAGTCATTTCAGTATGAGCAGTTTGAAAAAACTAGCGTTCATTCTACTTGCATAGACAGCAGAAGGTCTCGGGTTCGAATCCCGGTTAGTGATTTTGTTTCGCACTCGTAAATATTCTTTTAATAATAAGAAATACGATAGCACAAATCTACATAAAGGCATATAAAACATACCCTGAGACTGTTTAGAATTTATCACTTCACTTGTAACACTATATACATTTTAAGACACTTAACGCGGGAAAGGAGATACAAAATGTACATTTTACTTGTCTGCAGTTGACGACATTATTGCAAATTTAGACTCAGGATTTGAAAGAAGAATTGATGGCGAATCGAATTCTACAATCTGTGAAAGAAATGTTAAAATTCCAAATATATTTAAAACATATTTGTTTATAATAATAAACAAACAATTAAAAATAATAACAAACACAATTAATTAATGACAATAATTATATTATGTATATATATTATATATACATATATATATATATATATGTATATATATTGTATTTACCTTCCTTTGATGATTTACATATATATATATATATATATATATTCATATCTGATCGATTTAGTCGATGATGTTCCACGTATGTCTCGATTGTATAAAATAACACTGCAGTTGTTAACATAAACGCCGGACACTTTGACATAATTTGAGACATGTACATTTATTCAACGAAATTTTCGGCAGCACCTGCTGCCTTCGTCAGCGTAAGAGTGTCTGGTA